AGAGCCAGCTACCTGGAATCCCTGCATGAAAAGCGGGATCTCTCGAGTTGCTGGCACCAAACAGTCGATAACTGCTACAACGCCCATCACATATCTGGAGAGCGTATTTTTGATAACAAGGGCTTGTTGGTTCTCACAAGTTCCCAAAGGTTGTGGCTAAAACGAAAGGCATGTTGACAAGTCGGCGGCTCGGAAGGAGGCCCATGTCATCAGTCATGAAGGTGTAGCCGTAGCAGGTGCCGAAGAACAGCACACCATAGGCGACTGAACGAAGAGAAACCAAGTGGACTCAGACTCCGGCACAGATTCGGGGATTTGACGGTTTTTTAATCAAAACTCTCTATCACCAAAACTGCTCGCAATAAGACGACACACGACGAGTCGCAACATCGTAAGACCAATGATAGTCAAGCGTGCTCACTCATGAGTATTATACTGCCAGCTTTGTTCTTCGAGTAATTGAGGGCGAACAACAGCCTGCCAGAAACCACTCCAAATAGGTGGATTGCTATGAACCCCGGCACACCAAGGATGCCCTCCTGAAAAAGATAACCATTCTCCCCATACGCTCATATCAATGTTGTTTCCAGCAATAAAATAGGAGACCAATCTACTTTCATATTATACCTATTAATATTAGATATTCAAGGATATAACGAAGGTATACAATGTAGCAATAGACTATTAAAATAACACTATAATATGAATGATTCACCCTACCTTATTAGCCGAGATAAAGTCAATCCTCTCCGCGTAGAACACGAAGTCTTCTAGGTTGATCGATGGCGAGGTGAGCAGGTACCTGACGAACCCATGGACGCCGCCGCCGTAGACGGACCATTGTCGCGGCGTACTGATGGAAGCCTGTTATGAATAGCGCCATAGCTAGGAGCAAAGTCGTCGGCAGTCTTTGGGGTACGAGGGATGCAAACATCTGGACGGCTGCTATAGTGAGGAAGAAATTCCAATGCACCTACAGGAGTAGACACATCTTATACGCCCTCGTTGAGATTGTTCGACTACTATTGAAAAATTATCGAGTAACTTGAGATCTTTCGGAGACTGTATTGATGATACGTCCGGCTCCGCTGTGGGCAGCCTACGTTATTGACACTCACTGGGTGCTTTACGAAGGCTCATACGTCCTTCTCCTACTCTAAGTATTATCAACACGCTCGATTAGCGACACTCCGAATTCGAAATCGCAAATGATGACTGCCAAATTGCTTACACCATATTCGCTTGTGGGCACGTAATATCCCATAGTAGTGGTCGATATGAATCGAAGCACTCCTAGGAGTACAACCGGCCAAGCATGATACAGGGCTATCAAAGGTTGAAGGGGCAGCATCAACATTCTCTTCGTCACTGACTCATGATGCACCGGCCGGGATTTGAACCTGGGAGAAATGACTGCCTAGAAGAGAGCAACTTATAGCTTACGGTGCGGACGAGTGGCGACTCACTACGGCTGAAGAAAAGATAACGCAACCCACGCCGAGATCCATTAGAGAGTATCCGAATCTGACAAGAACAAGTTGTAGAAAAAGAAGGGATGCCCCGTTTTAGGGGCAATTTCCAAGGCCATAACAAATTGCCAGACTATTCCCACTCCTCTCAACGACTCGAAAGTACTACTTTCAAAGTAGACTCCCACGGCCGTTATTACGTATCCGTCTTTGAAAAGGCCCAGGGGAAAACATGATAGTCAACAGCGAATATTATCAGACATGTGCAGAACATCATCAACGACCTGATAGAGAGGGTAAATTACTGTAGTTCAAAAAACTCGAGCCTCCAGGCTGATTCAATCAGCACTAGTAGGGTTGCTAGACCATGCGAGAGCAACGCAAGAGGCTGACGGCTGTACCCATCAGCGATGGAACGACGGTTTACTAGGAAAACGACAGAATTCCAGGGCCACTCACCTATACTCAGCCAGAAAACGTATGACTGATGGTCTCTTAGGAGTCATCGGCGCGAACGGCAATGACGGCTTTTTCAGATCGCCCACAAAGACACCAATGCCACAAAGAATAATCAGTCTGAAAAACATGAGATAGCCGTGGATCACGATAGAACATTAGACTTTCAGACGTCTAACACTACAATATTTCCGGTCACTCAGGGAAGCGAATGTTATAATACCAACCAGCTATGCAAGTAATTCGGCGAATCGAGGCTGTCCACCGTATTCGGTGCTCTTATTAATGTAATCGTTCGTCTTACTCAGGGTTCTCATGCACGGATTTGGAACCCTAATTGAAGTATTTCACTGAATTGACGTATTCGCTTATCTGGTGCTCCTGTGTGAACGGGAGTGTCAATAAGCCTTTTCTGGTGCATGTGGAATTCTAGACCTCTGGCATAGCGGCCCTAGTATCCAAATATTTTTCCGGAGGGCTTTGTTCTCTGGCATAGCGGCCCTAGTATCCAAATATACTTCCTAAGGATTTTCTTCTCTGGTATAGCGGCCCTAATATTCAAATGAATTGCTGAATGGTATGGTCCGTTGGCATAGCGGCCCTAGTCTCCAATAAATTTCTGCTTTTCACGAAATGAATTCCTCAACGGCGTGCATCTCCGGGAGACCTATTTCGCTCTCAGCGAAGTCAATTCCACTGGGCGGGGCAACTACGCCACCGCCCCAAGATATGCCTCCACAAGACGATGGCAGTCGTGTCGCGTTTGAGTTATGGAACGGTATATCTGCCCCAAGCCAAACCAGCCTCACTAACAGCGAAATACTCCCACCATTCGTCGGAATTGCAGTTCAAGACAAAATTGCTCCTCCTATCGCGTACTCCCGCAAAATTGGTTGAACTAGGGCATATACCAGAGCGGTGGCATAGGTGCCCCATCCGATAACTATGGTCCCATTGAAAGCGAAATGGGTCTTTGAAAGGTGTAGGACGACTGAATCCATCCATGATAATCATCGCTTCCACCACTCCTCAACAATAACGGATGCGACGAGGCATATCTTTGGGCAGTGGCATAGGTGCCCCATCCAATGAATTCGGTCCCAATGAAAGCGAACTAGATCTTTGAAAGGTGTAGGACGACTGAATCCATCCATGATAATCACTGCTTTAACCACTCCTCAACAATAACGGATTCGACGAGGCATATCTTTGGGCAGTGGCATAGGTACCCCATCCAATGAATTCGGTCCCATTGAAAGCGAACTAGATCTTTGAAAGGCATAGTACGACTGAATCCATGCATGATAATCATTGCATGTTCCACTTCCCAACAACAATGAATTCAAACCCCAGCATTTGGATAGTCGAACCCACAGTCACGACCCTCCTTATTACCCGACAACAACCGCTTCAAACAGCATCGGAGTAGCCAAGGCAGCAGTCAATGGTCCCGAGACCAGTAGCACATCAGCCCATAGAGCTCGAGGGTTGCGCACCAACGTGGATCGGGCGAAGATGCACAATGGGAATATGCCAAAAAGCATTAATAGACGACCCGGACTAGTACCGAAACCGCTCGGATTCAAGTAACCAGTATCCTGTATCTGAAAGGCAAGCCTGAGTCTAAGATTCTTCTGCGGATCATTGATGTGTAATTGCAGGTAGAGGCAATCCTCACAGGGTCGCCCTGTTGGGGCCCATCTCAGTAGTGCTACTCAACTGGGCCGCCCAATCTGGGCGTATAAGGAAGGTCATCACAATCGCGCATGGAATCTAGCTCAAATGCTTGGCTACGGCTCAGCGTGTACTACCAATTTATAGTCCTCAGACTTCACAAACTCTTTGCCGAAGTAGTAGCTTCCCCCATCCATGCTTAGCAGCAATCGAATAGACTCCCACAGCGGAGTTTGAAGGAGAGCCCAACCTTGGCTAGACATTAACTCGATTGATCAAGAGTCTACTACTACTATGCCGTGAACAAGGCAGTAATGATGGGTCACACTATCGGCAAGCCACAATCACTCTGTCTCCTTCGTGCAGAGTTCAATTCAGTCATTATACAATTGACGCTCACATTTATTCCAGTCGATATGTCAGCTCGTCTCAATGTGTAAAACGAGCCCACAAGGCTCAATTCACGTCACGAGCCCAGGAAGACGTCTTGACTAAGAAACTCAACGACTGCAGTTCACGATAATCAGTTAACACAGTTATCCCTATCAACCGACCCTCACTTCGGTCGATATTTACACTGTCAAGCATCCGTTCTTCAGCTGCCACTGTGCCTCATAAGGCAGCTGAAAAGTGTGCGATGCCTGTTAACGACTGCTCTTGCGCTTTTACCTTCGGTGTGGAACCAATACTCTGGTAGAACACGGGCTATTAAGCGCATATCAACAATATATGGGTACGGTATTCGGCTAGATTCTCTTCATTTTTCGATGATTCACACGACGAATATGCCCGGAAAAGTTCCAACAAACTCTCTGATGATCGGGTTTTCCTGTGGAAACAGCATCATACATATGTGACTATCTGACCTGGTGGAATGTACAGCCACGCGAGAAATGTGACATTTCAAATGTCTATCGACCCTAACCAAGGATCACACTCATGAAACCGGAGGCCTGCAATTACGTGAGCAGAACGATGATAAGCAGTACTTGCAAACTTCGATGTACAGATTAGGACTGGGAGGGACTAGCGAGGATGCAGCGCAAGGTTATATAAAAAAACGACGATGTTATGAATCTCGCTCGCCCCAATATAAAAGTTTTGGCTAGGTGGGCCGGACGGTAGCAAAAAGTGGGCCAGACGGTAGCAACCGGAAAAAAATTTATATTTGAAGGGGAATCGCGGGCCTCCGGCCCGCTACTACTACCGTGATCCCCAATTAGTCATAGACGACCTGTAGATGACACCTTGTTTGGTCTGCACGGAGCGAAAAAACCGAAAAAAGCTGGTGCCAGGAATCGAACCTACGACTCTCTATCTCGCTCGCCCAAGTCTGGAGGGTCTTGCATGGCATGTACTTTCGCCCGCCCCGAAATTACTCCCCTTGCCCCGAGATTACTCATGTCCCCCCGAAATTCCTCTTTTTGCCCCGAAATTTCTTCGCGCTGCCCCTGCTTGGCAAGTGAGCCTAGAGAGTGCCTTCTCTTTCGAGTGGCAAAGGATCACTTTCTTCGTGAGAGCCTAATGGTTGATACCTATAAGTAACAGTGAAGCCGAAACGATTCGCGAGTGTGAGCGAGATGTTATCACTGAGAACCCACTAGTTACAATCGAAGTGTACTCACGTCGGGGTCGACTTCTCACGGATGTGTCATCTGTGAATTTGTTGACTGATGCGGATCCCATCTAGTGATATTCCGGCTAGTACTGGCGTACTCTTGTGAAGGTCAAAGTTTGGCCAGTACCCGGTGTTTGACTATGTCGGAAGTAAGTCGTTTGTGTTCGTCGGTGGATACTCCTCTTTTTAGTTGTCACCTGCGAGGGGATTCCAGTTTAATCATCCAGATCAGTGAAGTCGAGTATCTTCAATTAACTAACGATCCATGTCGGCGACATGATGTCGCTGTTAAGCATCCGTGTCCCACCAGCGGCAGGTTTGCCCTACCATGGTCTATAATCTATGGACAACACAAAGCGAGTATTTTAATACGGTACTATTAGTGCACTAATTAGTCCATCATGCATTAGTAATGAGCACGAGAGCTTATGTCCACGCTTTTCTCGTCCACGCTCCCCCACTCTATAATTCACAGAATCTAGGTGTATGTTTGAACTGTATCAGAATAGCCATGGATATGATATTCGAGACACCAAAGTTCAGCAATCGCTGACATGAACGGTCAAATCTCGTCCACGCTCCCCAACTCTATAATTCACAGAATCTAGGTGTATGTTTGAACTGTATCAGAATAGCCATGGATATGATATTCGAGACACCAAAGTTCAGCAATCGCTGACATGAACCCTCAAATCTCGTCCACGCTCCCCCACTCTATAATTCACAGAATCTAGGTGTATGTTTGAACTGTATCAGAATAGCCATGGATATGATATTCGAGACACCAAAGTTCAGCAATCGCTGACATGAACCCTCAAATCTCGTCCACGCTCCCCCACTCTATAATTCACAGAATCTAGGTGTATGTTTGAACTGTATCAGAATAGCCATGGATATGATATTCGAGACACCAAAGTTCAGCAATCGCTGACATGAACCCTCAAATCTCGTCCACGCTCCCCCACTCTATAATTCACAGAATCTAGGTGTATGTTTGAACTGTATCAGAATAGCCATGGATATGATATTCGAGACACCAAAGTTCAGCAATCGCTGACATGAACCCTCAAATCTCGTCCACGCTCCCCAACTCTATAATTCACAGAATCTAGGTGTATGTTTGAACTGTATCAGAATAGCCATGGATATGATATTCGAGACGCCAAAGTTCAGCAATCGCTGACATGAACCCTCAAATCTCGTCCACGCTCCCCCACTCTATAATTCACAGAATCTAGGTGTATGCTTGAACTGTATCAAAATAGCCATGGATATGATATTCGAGACACCAAAGTTCAGCAATCGCTGACATGAACCCTCAAATCTCGTCCACGCTCCCCAACTCTATAGTTCACAGAATCTAGGTGTGTACTTGAACTGTATCAAAATAGCCATGGATATGATATTCGAGACACCAAAGTTCAGCAATCGCTGACATGAACCCTCAAATCTCGTCCACGCTCCCCAACTCTATAGTTCACAGAATCTAGGTGTATGTTTGAACTGTATCAGAATAGCCATGGATATGATATTCGA